ATTAGTAATTAATTCAATGACGAAGCCTGTTTGTCAGAGTTATGACTAAGATCATCACAGACGAGCAGGAACAGTCGTGCAAGTGATCTATAATGAAATCCTATGCTATTCTATGATATTTTTTGTGATGATACCTGATTTCGTCATAGATAAGGGGGGGTTTAAGGTTTGTCATGGTGATCGATGACGAAACCAAAATTTTCATCATAAAAAGCAATTTTTTATGACGGTTTCGGATTCATCATTAAAAATTTCATCATAGAAGTGGATATTCCTAGTAGTGCCGCATGTTTCTTTCCCCAAGAACCTACCCCAAAAGTGAGGGTAGCTCAATGACACGCTCAACTAGAGTTGCTCTTCACGGCTCCCACGGGGTGAGCACAATACCACTCACAATTACTTCTCCGGAGCACCGCACAATCTTCTTTGCGTGCTTCGACGGAGACCACCACCAAGTCGTCTAAGAGGTGGCAACCTCCAAGAGTAACAAGCACCACCAGCTTGCAACACGAACACCTACTGCCACTCGATGCACTCTCACAATGCAATCGCACTAGAATCGCACTCACACTCAATTGGATGATCACTATCAAGTCTATGTGAGTTAGAGGGCTCCCAATACCTACACAAGTCACAAAGGCTTAAGGGTACTCAACAACTAGCCCAAGGCTAGCCAAGGGGGTATTTATAAGCCTCCACATGAAATAGAGCCATTGCTCCAAAGTTCCCCTTTTCTAAGAGGGCACCGGACACGGCGGTGCCATTTCCAACGGTCAAAATTCCAATGGCTAGAAACTAGCCGTTGGTCACCAAACGCAGTGGCAGTGGCACTGCCCTAGGGAGGGCGGTGACCAAGCCACCTGAGACCCTCTCTCTAGAAAAAAGCGGCGGTGCACTAGACACCCCCTGGCAGTGCCCCCGCCCTGCCCATGGCGGTGCACACCGGTTAGGGCAGTGCCCGCCTTCTCTCTGCTGCTCTAGACCGAGGCCAAGTGGGCACTGCCATAGGGGGCGGTGCACCGGACAGGGCACGGCGGTGCCCCCTAGGGCAGCACCTTGATCCCGGTTTCGCCTCCTCTTCAACCAACGACTTCTCATATCGCCACCGATCAAATTGGAATCCCTGGCGGGTACATCAAGTCGTGGCTGCTCATATCGCCACCGATCAACAAGGAAATGGAGTTCCTCTGATCCAATCACTCCCAGATTTGGAGAACAGAACACAACGCTCCTAGGCTTATTGGCTGTAGGGACGGCCTCAAAGATCTAACACCACCAACATGACAGGACGGCCACTAACTATGAAGCACCTCTGCTCCCAAAGAACACGGCAAACTAAAACCATCACCGGCACTATCGGTATGGTGCCTTCACTAACTTCACTGCCACAGGAGACAAGGATTAACAGGTACACAATCACTGCCCCGGCTCTACTCCAAGGCACCAGATGCTATGGCGCGTGATTGGTTGCCCGAACCAGGACGTCCAAAGGGGCATCTTGCATCCCTCCGTGCACTTGTGCCGTGTTTGGTTGCCCTGCTCGCACCTTTTGCCTGCATCTTTTCATTCGTTTGCCCTCCTCCATCCCACACGGCTCCGTCTTCTGGATTTCTCCTTCCCTCATGGTGCAGGATGACTTGATTCACCCAGGATACAGGGACCCATGCGTCAGGCACCCAAAAAAACTAATGCATGCAACAAAACACAACCCCGTCTCGTACTGAACCAACAGCCAAGACAACCAAACACGACCACCTGCACGAGCTCAACCCGACTTCTTCGGTCCTGCATAGCCTGACCATCCTGACTCAAGGCTTGCTCTGCAACCAATCACGCCCTATGTGGATGCATCCACTATGCCGGACCAATAGTCCCTGTCTCCAAGAACGGGTCGTTTGGGCATCTTCATCCTAAACATGCAGGAACAACCGACATAGGGGATCTACATCAAGGCAAAACTCGCTGAATGTACTTCAGTACTCATGGCTGAAGCAGCAAGCCTTGCCTTGGCTTCAACTGTCATTGACACATTGAATATCGGCAGCATCAGCTATTTGTCGGACTGTGAACAGTTGGTTCACTTCCTCAATCAGGCTGACCATTCCAACCCCCCGGACTGAAGAATCAAACATTTCACACAAATATTCTCCAATCTTGCAAGAGCCAGGAATCCAAGATCTTCAAAATCAACAGAAGACTCAACACAACAGCAGATGCACTGGCGCCCCAAGCTCTTCAACACTCGGCCACTCAGAACAACAATTTAGAACTCTCTTGCTCTTATGAGCATCATGTATTCCAGTGCACTCTTACTCATGCTCTACAGTCTGTAGATTTGAACGTTGTAACAATCCTTGCAGCACGCTGCTGCTAATAACAAAGTTGTTTCTTGTCAAAAAAAAAAAATACTCGCTGTCCCAATTAAATATCCCAAAAGACTGCGTAGGTACAACTTTTAGCCAGTAGCTGGTACCCACTTGATGAAAAAAAATCAGCAATCCACATTCAGGACATAGGTCCAGGGTCTCTGGCGTCCACAGACCACCGCGCCGACGCATGCACCCCTAAAAAAACCAACCGCCTCGCAAAAAAACAATCGAAAAAAGACAATCGACACAGGTATCTCTGGCTCCACCATCGCCCCTGGCCCCCTCCCCATTTGCAGTTCGCAGCAGTTCTCAGTCTAGATCCACGCAACCTTCACATGTCCCCACGGTGCCGTGCCACGAAGCCTCCAGCGGCGCATGGTCTTGTCTTCTTCGCGCTCAGCTTAGTCCCCACACCTACGCCTACGCTCAACGACCTTTCCCATCCCTGTCGTGGCATCATCGGCCCCCGCCGTGGGCACCGTCCTGAGGATGCTGGCGTCCTTGTGGCCAAGCAACTCGATGCCGCATGGCTCGTGCTGCTGCAGGAGTTCACCTACGGCCTATTGGCTACGACGATTGCTCCTGCGGCATTTCCCCCGAAGCTTCGTGCTAAGATCTTCTCCTCTGCGACGTGCTCTCTGTCAGATCCGGGACCAAGGTCGAACGCGGCATCACCGAGACGTCTGGGGGCATGTGGGTGGGCGGTGGCGATGTGGCCGGTGAGCATATAGCCGGAAGGCGAGGAAACTGGTGGAAGGGTGAGATGGGGCTCATCTGTAATTCGTTTCGCCGCCTCATCAGGAGGGAGTAGCTGTGGAGTACGGGTGAGATTTAAAGGCATGTGGTCTCGTAGGTGCGGGAAGCGAGACAGGCGCAGGAGCCAAGCAGACACGGCCACTGCTATTCAATTCACGCACCTAGATATGAAACGGGTGGCGACGCCTCGCTTGTGAACGCTTCATTTGTGCTTGGAAGACGCGAGGGCTGAGATGACGTGGCTTAGGAAATTGGTGGGGCCCTTGTGATGATGGGGCCTCACGAAATCATAGAGAAATGTGGTAGTGGTGTTTTGTTTTATAAAAGTATATGATTGCACTCGGATGGAGTACTACTAGTAGGAGGTAGACATTGCACGCGTGACCGGTCGCACGTTTCAGGATCGCATGACCCTCGTTTTCCTCCTTCCTTGCGCCTTATCTGCCCCATCCCCGCCTTTCATCCCCGCTGTCCTCAGTCAGTGGCTCACTGGTCGCCGCTCGCGCCCGCGCACTGCCCGCCGCCGGTCCCCACTGCTCCACTCCCTCTCCTAACTTTGACCGGAGTTCAACCGCACTGGCCCGCTCCCTCCCCTAGCCTTCACCGCCACCCCCCGCCAGCGGCTCCCTCGCCGCCGGCCGCACTGTCCATCGCCCACTGCCGTCGCTCCACCCTGCCCTCCCTAACCTCGACCAGAGTCTTCGCCGCACTAGCGCACTCCCTCCCCGACCTCTACTGCCTATCTTAGGGCCAAGTCCACTGGATATGAGGGTATGGGCTGCAGGTTCGTTGTCTTCAGCAGTGTCTCCACACTCTATGACCTGGCTAGACTGTGGACCCTCAGTTTTTTACCACCACGTATTTATCTATCTATCCGTCAGCTGTATCCGTCGTGGCATTGGTTTATTCCAACCAGCTACCCTGCACTTTTTTTTAATCACCGTGTGAGGCTGTCTGTGAAAAAACATAAGGTCCTGTTTGATTGAGAAGGCTCCTCTCCAGCCTTGGCTTCTGCTCTGCAGAGGAGTTCTGCCAAACATTTTATTAGAGGAGACATTTTTTATTAAAAATATAGCTTCTCTAAGGAGGAGCCCAACACACCCTAACACGCACATGGTCGGAGACGTGAAGGAGATGCCGCAGCGCTGACGAGGGTATGCATGGTGTAGCCACCAGGCACCAGGACAGGTCCACTGTATATGGCCCAAAGCCTCAAGCCCAATAAACGAAGAAGAGGTCCAAGTAAATCCAGCGCTCTCCTCGCTCAGTCAGTCGCCCGACTTCCCGTTGCCGTCTCGCTCTCGCTTGTGCTCCCCGCCTCCGCACGCCGCAGCCCCGCACTCCGCCGTCCGCGCTGGCGTCCAGAGCCACGTCGAGGGTCCTCTTTGCTGGGGTCGGCGCCTTCCATGCTCCGACACTCCAGCCGTGCTAGGGTTTCGGCCGTGTCGATTCTCCGTATTCTCCGTCTCCGGCCGCTGCGCATCGATCGGTTTGTTCGTTTCCGGAGGCCCCTTTACCACGCCTCCCTCATCTCTGTCTTATCCGGTGGTGAGCACTGATTATTGAACTGAGATACAAATACTTATTTGCCATTGGCTGCCATTTTAGACCAAAGGCATTGGCCCAGCTTATATTGAAAGCACATAACGGTAGCTGCTGGGGATACCAGCTTACATTTTAGCATTTTCAACAACAAAGTTTAAGAAAGATAAGCAAAAGAACGCTATTACAAGAATGACCCAGACAAAACATGCGTAGACAAAAGACTGCCTCCTGATAACCTACGACTTGGTCTCTGATCAGCAGACACAACACCTCTAGAGAAGCCTGGGATCCATATCCCCCGCAGCCATCCTGTTCCTGATGCTGCCATCTTCAGGTCATCAGCTTCACCACGCCTTCAGACCCTCCTGTAGCTTCAGTATAGTATCCTCCATCTTCAACACCCCTTCCGGCTTCAACATCTTCTTCCACTGTGATAAGAAACCCAAAACTTTGTAAGCGATTGCTTTAGGAGTTTTGATTAGATGGTTATTGAAAACCCAGTCATTCCTGGTCTTCCATAGACTCCAGGATACGCCTGCTAACAAGAAGAAAGCTATAAAAATGTCCTTATGCCCCAGCCCAACTCTCATCTTATCCTCATAGTCTTGAATTGAGATGGCTCTTTCAGTCCACCTCATACTAATCCTGACCCACACCCACAAGATCTGTGCTATGTTGCAGTTAAAGAACAGGTGGTTCCTGGTTTCAATTTTCCCACAGTACTTGCACTTTTCAGAACCTTTGCCTTTTTCTGATTTTCAATTGTTCACTAGTGAGCACTCTATCATGCCAGAGCATCCAAAGAAAGATCTTGATCTTGAGGGGTAAATTTACTTTCCACAGCTCTGTCATTCTCAGATCAACATTGCCACTGTGTTTCATAAATCTGTACAGAGATTTGGTGGAGAATTTGCCTGAAGGTTCCAGAGCCCAAATTACAGTGTCATCCTCTTCTGAAAAGACTAATAACTCTAATTCCTCCTGCAGTTCATTCCACTCTGCAACCTCATCAATACCCAGTCTCCTTCTCAGATCTAAATTCCATTCCACCTCTTTTAACTCCATAACTGACCAGTCCTGCTGTCGGCTAATCCTGTACAGCTTAGGGAATCTCAACTTAAGAGGGCAAGTCCCTAACCACACATCATGCCAAAACCTGATTCTCTTTCCATTGCCTAGTTTCCATCTTGTCCCTCTTTCATACCATTCCCTGGCTTTCCCCAAACCTTGCCAAAACTGAGAAGCACCTCTTTGATTGGTTTGGCAGAAGCTTCTACCTCTTAGGTATTTTTTCCTGAGCACATCAAGGGCCATACTGTTTTCACCTCTATCTAATTTGAAAATCCACTTGGCCAACAGCACAGTATTCATGATTCTTGTATCTATAAAACCAAGGCCTCCAAATTCTTTGGGAACTGCCAGAGCTTCCCATTTAATCATATGGTACTTTTTCTTGTTGCCAACTCCTTCCCAGAAGAATCTGCCTCTACCAGTGTCAAACCTCTTGTGGGTACCCTCATGCAACCAATAAAACCCCATTGAATACATGGGGATACTAGATAGGCTAGAGTTTATGAGAATGGATCTGCCTCCATGAGATAACTGGTTACATTTCCAAGTTTCTAGTCTCTTTTCAACCTTATTTGCAGAAACACTAAGCTCCTCTTTGGACAACCTCTTGTAGCTTAATGGGAGACCCAGATATTTCATAGGAAAGTGTCCACGCTTACAGTTGAAAGAATTGGCTATCTCCTCTGCTTCCACCTCATTAATGCCCAAAGTGAACACCTCAGACTTGTTATAGTTTATTTTCATGCCTGACACCTCCTCATAACAGATTAGCAAAAATTTAAGAGTAGCAATATTCTGCTTACTGTTTTCAATGAGAAGAACAGTGTCATCAGCATATTGTAAATGTGTCAGGCCCCCATCAATTAAGTGTGGAGTTACCCCAACCAAAAGTCCACTGTCAGTTGCCTTTTTCAACATGGTAGATAACCCATCAGCAACTAAATTGAAGAGGAGAGGGGATAGGGGGTCCCCTTGTCTCAAACCTTTGTAACTCCTAAAGTACTGACCCAATTCACCATTGAGATTAACTGCAACTCTGCCTCCACACACTGTTCTCATTACCCAATCTGTCCACCTCTCACAGAAGCCCTTCCTATGCATCACCTCTTGAAGAAAATGCCAGCTCACCTTGTCATAGGCTTTCTCAAAATCTAGTTTTAGAATTATCCCACTCTGTTTCTGCCTTACAATTTCATGCATCACCTCATGAATAACCACTACCCCATCTAATATGTATCTCCCTGGGATGAAAGCTGTTTGGTTTGGGCTGATGAGTTTGTCAATAATTTTATTGAGTCTAAGAGTCAAAGTCTTAGTGACAATCTTGTAAACTACATTAAGGAGGCAAATAGGTCTAAACTGTCTGATATTGGTAGCTCCTTTAACTTTGGGAATCAAGGTGAGGATGCCATAGTTCAGCCTAGAAAGATCCAGATGTCCACCTCTTAGGTCTTGTAGAATTTCCAAAAGTGTCCCCTTGAGCTCAAAGGGCAGACCCAGTGCCGGAGGCTCCCACATGAGTGAGCTCACCCCAGAAATATTTGAAAAAGACAGCCGAAAATCCATCTGGTCCAGGGGCAGACCCATCTCTCATCCCTTTCACCACCACCTCAAGTTCTTCAATGGTAAAAGGCTTGGTCAATTCCTCATTTTCCTCTTCACTTACTTTGGACTCTAAACCCCAAAAATCATACTTTAGACTAAATCTGGACCGTGGTTCACTTCCAAACAAACCTTTGTAAAAGTTAGTAATATGTTCTTGTAGAGCTTTAGTTTCAGTGATGATTAGTCCATCTTCTTCCAATGACCTGATAAAGGTCTTACGTTTCCTTCCATTGGCAATACCATGGAAATAAGCCGTGTTAGCATCACCCTCCAGTAACCATCTCTCCCCACCTCTTGATTGCCACATGAGCTCTTCTTGACTGTATATCTCTATCAGTTCATTCTCCCATCTGTATCTCTGTTCCCATTCAGACTCCACCAATCCCTTGTCTTCATTTTTTTGGTCTAACTTCATTATACAGAGCAACAGATCCTGCTTCCTCTTCTTCAAATCACTACCCCAGTTCCCATTCCAACCTCTTAGGCTGCTCATGAGTTTAGATGAGATCTTTTGCCATTTATCAATACCATGAGCATTCTGAAATTCTGGCCATTTAGATAAAACCCAGTCTCTGAAACCGTCCTACTTCAGCCATGCAGTCTCAAATCTGAAAATCCTTGATCTTCCACCTCTATTAGAAAACAGATCCACAACCAAGGGATTATGATCTGAACCAATTCTGGTAACAGAGTGAGCACTGGCCAAAGGAAAGTGTGCTTCCATACTCATGTTCATGAAATCCCTATCTAGGACAACCATGATAGGATTGATCTGTTTGTTTGTCCAAGTGTACTGGCTACCACCTCTATGCATTTCTCTAAGTTCAGTCTCTGCCACAAAATTATTGAAAGCTTCCATCAGGTTGGTGTTTACATTGCCAGAAGATTTCTCTTCAATTCTCCTTACTAGGTTCAAATCACCTCCAACCAGAGTGGGAATATCTTCATCATTGATCAGCACCTCTAACTCATTGAGAAAGGCCTGCTTTTGATTATCTTTAACAGGGCCGTATACACTGATTAGTCTCCATCTGAAATTATCTTCCTTCTGTACCATGGTCATTGCCTGAAAATGATCATTTACCTCTATCTTAATCACCTCTGCAAAATCCTCCTCTATTCCCATTAGCAACCCCCCAGAATGTCCCCTGGCAGGTATCCACTCCCAAGTAAAAGGCATACCACCTCCAATTGCATTGAGTTCCCTGTTTGTAAAATTTTGTTTTATTGTCTCACTAATGCAAAGGCATCTAATCTGATGGTCTTGAATAATTTTCTTCAATTGAGCTCTTCTGCCTCTGCTGCCCAACCCCCTAACATTCCAAAATAGTACACTAATTGGGAATATTTTTACCTTTCCTCCTCTGCTCAATGTTCCACACCTCTAAACATTCTGAGTCCGTCACCACTTCAGTCACCTCTTCCAATTCAAGTATCATCTTGGAGTGTTCCTCATTGAAATCACCTTCTGAGTCATCCACCTCTAACACTTGCTCTGAAGTTTTTGGCTGTTCTTTAGATTTTTCAGCCCGAGCCAAAGTGGCTTGAGCTAGTTCTTTGGCTTTAATCAGATTAATGGAAGCATCAACATCCTCTACTGTGTCACCCAAATTAATCCCACAGTCTAAAGCTATTTTGCTAAGGACATCTGAATCAATGTTCTGTAAAACAGAGAAAGGATTATTAGACATACCTTGACTATCCTTCATGTTGGCCCTCCTTTCAGCTCGAAGTGGGATTGGGGTTCCAGTCCCCGCCACCCTGGAACTTGTACTCTTGGCCATCTCTACATATTTGGCAGTTTTCTGCTTCTTGGTGCTGGTTACTTTGATGTAGCCCTGGTCCTCATCTTGAAACATGGTGACTGGATCAGAGTTAACTGTAGCTGTTGTGTCCTTGGCTAACGGTTCTTCCATCATTACCTCCATCTTCAAGCTGTCCTTGGTTACTATTTCTGATTGCAGATCACCCTTGCCAGCATCTATTGCTGCGTCTTCCTTTCTGTTGTCACTTATGGTCTCCACACTCACCTCCTCCTTCTCTTTACTATCCATTGGCTGCCATTCACCTCCATTGACAGAGATCTGTGGTTAGAACTTAGAATCGTGTGGAAGTTAGAATTCAAATGCTCTGTATATGATATCTCGATGCAATAATTTTCTCAAGAAGATAATCATGTTTTCTTCCGTTTGTATTTATTAGTACCATTTTAGCTTTCATGCCTAACATACAATGCATGTTATGGAAAAAAAATGGGAACGTCTATCTAACAACCGGGTGTTTTAGCACCCGGTTACACCCGAATTTTTTCTACACGGTTACTATTCACCTCCCTCCTACCTCTAGTTACTGTTCATCTTCCTTCTTGGCACAAATCACAGATCATAGATAACAAATCACACATCACAAGTAACAAATTTTTTCTATGAAAGGACAAAGACAAAATTTGGGAGTGGTGCCGGAGTTGGGGAAGAAGAAGCTCGCCGGAGTTGGTTTCCGATGCCGGGCGCAGCAGCGGCGTGACGGCGGCGGCAGCGCGGGCGTGGCAGCGGCGCGTGCGTCGGCGGAAGGGCGGTTCCGCTGCAAAAAAAAAAAAAAAATCGTGTGTGCCCGGGTGCTAAAACACCAGGGTGTTATATGGCTTTTCCGAAAAAATATGGTCAATTATTTGTCATTACTGAATTGGTGAACTTTAATAACTCTTTTGTGGAACCATGCCATCTCTTTGATCTGACCAATAAACATCACCACTGTTGTCAAACATAGTGCTTTTGATTAATTTCTGTTCGTACACTGAATTTCTTGGCAAATACTAGTATACTTCATATTTTGAATATGGATTATACTGAATTGCATATATGTTAGAATTAGCTAGGACTAGCCTAAAAATCCTGGTTCCATTACTGCCAAACATGCTGTGCCATTTCTAGCACTTTGCAATGGAAACGGTCTCAGGTGGCTTCTCAGCCCCTCTCCATTCAGGAAAGAATTAATTTAGCAGTAAATACATCCAAGTATAAAGTAGCCTTGTTTACTGTCAAAGTGCTCGACTTTTCAACACATCCTACAATTAGGGAGGAAGACTAGAGTGTAGGCAAAGTCGGTAGATGTTGTTGCCTTGTCATTGCAGATGTTGCCTTGTCATTGCAGATTCTGAACATCAATGAAGCACTTCTGGTGGTAGTGTCCTCCATAAAGAACATATAACCTGAGCATATTGATATAGACAAAACATTGAGTAATGAAAACAAAAAAGATTGAACATAGTAAACTTAACTGAAATGGATAGGTCACTGAAATGGAAGCAGTACTGTTGTAACAAGTTATTGATGTCAACACATTGCTAGAAGCTTTACCTTTATTTATTTCCCTTTTGAGAATCTGGAAATCCAATTCATTCTATTTCCTTCCAACGTATGTGGGCAATCTTTGACCAGCTTTCACCATTAGGACTGCAGCTCTCCTTCAAGAGTTCACAGTCTTCCACTCTTATTCGCCGAATAGAAGTTGGTAGTGCTTAAGACAACAAATTGGGACACGTAAAGAATTTGAGGCTCTCCAGACAGGAAAGGTCCTTCAAACTTGGCAGGGACTGGATTCCGCAATTCATGAAGCACAGATGCTGGACGGAACTTAAACTATCAGACCTTTCAAACAAAATGAATGGCTTGTTGCAACATTCAAGCGTGACCTGTGCTGGAATTGCAAAACCTTCTGTCGATAGCATGTCATTGAGCATTATGGAACTGCTATTCTGCTAACAGTGAGTGATTTCTGTACACGACAGTGTGAAATATACTTGGCTGAGAGCTTTGGAACTAGCACCAATGTCAACTCATCAAGTTGTAGGGAAGGTAATCCTTCAAGCATGCACAAATCTGGCAAATGACTTAGTTCGAGTGTCTTCATGGAGGTAAGATGACCAACCGCGAACAGAGCTTTTGCAGTCATATACAGTCTCACTTGCAAGCATGCAGTTGGATACATCGAGCTCCTCAAGGGACAATGGCATAGATTCGACTCCATGAGCCAATCCCAAAGAAGGACAAGAACTTAGATTAACGCTTAAAATAGATGCTGCACCATTTATGCCCCCTAATGATCTGATACACCAGCACTCCAAAATAACCAAACTGTGCAGTGTTTTCAAGTGCTGGAAGACTGCTTCTGACGGGAGTGTAGTTAAACTCATAATACCTTGTAATTGTAAACGATTCAGTGAACTGAGGCCTCCAAGGCAAATAGTTAAAGCCCAATCTGTAATACTGCAATTACAAAGACGAAGTTCGCAAAGTGTTGATGGTGGAACAAATTGTGTCCCAAGGCTATTTCTATAGAGGAGTTTTATCCTTTGCTCCTGGCAATGTATCCATGCCTTGATGATATTTTCTTTCACAAATGCTTCATCTCTTCCACCAGCTAGACTGCTTTCAATGACTCGAAGATGTTCTGCTACATCAGTATCCATCAATGGCATCATCTGCTTCAGATATGAATGCTCTTCCAATATTGTTTTTTTAATTCGAGAACTTGACTCTGAATCCAGTTCCCAGATCAAAGCAAGTCGGGATGCCAGATTATCTGTTTTCATCTGCTTTCCTTTTCGTCATAATGTTCCAGCTTATCATTGCAAACAAACATAAGCAATGGGCACTCTGCAATTTGGAGAAATTCAAGGTGCCTCCGGAGGCACGGTAGTGTCTTCAGATTTGGGACATGTCTAAGTGACAGATGAGAGCAATGCCTGAGGAGCTCTGCATTGGGTGGTAGATATTGTAAAGAACTACAATTGTACAGACAAAATCTATTCAAATTATCAAAGTAGGAACCATCGAGTAACCAGCTTGGATATGCAGAAGATTTGTAACCCCAAATGAGAAGAAACTTTAGCCCAGGCGGAGGCATCAGCCCTTCAAAAACATCCAAATGAGAACTATCTTCTCCGTGCAAGTCATTGTCAAAACTCCAGTTCAGACGCAATCCCTCAAGATGCCTTTTCTGATGGAGCTTCGACTCTAAGGCTTCCACTTTTCCAGTGGCATTCTCAAGATTTGTGATACTTAAGATGCCACCCAGATTATTAATGTCCCTCAGCTGTCCCAAACCATATCCCTTCAGCCTAAGCACACTAAATTTTTGAAGTCCCTGTAGTGAAATTAGCTTGCCCATGTAAGGAATCGGAGGGGCCCCTTCTTCAACTGGATAACCATAGTATTCATCAAGATATGCTCCCAGATGCTGTAGGTTACTTAAATTGCAAATTTTATCAGGCAGGCTCTTAACTTTGAAATTGAATAGAAGTATCTGTAAGTGGTAGAGAGTGGACAATGACCCAGGCAGTTCAGAAATTGAAGTTCTAATGAGGTTCAAATACCGAAGATGCTTCAGATCAGCAACAGATTGAGGTAACTTCCTTCCATCATAAGAGCACAAATACAATACACGTAATTTCTTCAAATTCTGCAGTACCTCATGGAAAATATCACTTACATTATCTACAAGGGGGTCGATGCAGATAACAGTGCGTAAATTTTGAATCTTGCAGATACTTTGCTTGCGCTTTTTCATACTCTCTACACGAACAGATAAATGTCGAATAGCACATGGTATTTCTGTCACATTATCATCTTCTAGTCTGAAGCAGTCCTCTCTAGACAGCTCCTCTGCCAAGTCATGTAGGAGATCATGTACAGCATACAATCATGTACCATATAAACTTTCAGAAGTTTGAAAGAACGAACAAGAGACCATCTCATTGATGTAATCCCTTCCAATATCGTCCATTCTCTTATCTTGGTTGCGTGAATCAACAAGTCCCTCTGCTATCCATAGATAAAGCAACTCGTCAACTGAATACTTGTGGCCTTTTGGAAATAAGCTGCAATACAGAAAGCACCTCTGGTGGCGTGGATCTAACTTCTCATAACTCCACAATAGAGCTCTCCTGGGCCCGCTTAAGTTTTAGAGCATCTTTCCATGTGGTGAGATCTTTATTCCTGCTTAGCTGAGAACCCAGAACTTGTGCTGCCAAAGGAGATTGTCCAAGCTGTTTAGCAATCTTCACTGCAATCCCATCTAGCTCTGCACGCAGATGCTCATCTCTGATTTCTGCTCCTGAGAAGGAATGGTATTTGAAAAGTTTCAGGAATTCCGTATCTTCCAGGATTTCCAAATGAACCACATGTTTACAGCAAAGAGCAACAGGAAATGTATCCCGTCGAGAAGTAACCAAAACTTTGCTGCCCACCCGCTGAGAAACTAGAGGAGCTAGAAGTTGCTGCCATTCTATCTCATCTGCGGATTCTTGAAACCAGACATCATCCAAGACAAGGAGGAATTTCTCTGACTGTTGCAGCATGTCACTTAATTTGCACTGAAGAGTATCAAGATTATCGACACGTGGGCATTCTCCCTTTGCAGCAGACTCAATGATCTCTCGTGGCACGGACATCCAGCTTGCGGGAGATGCAGACCCACATCCTGACATCAAAATGTTTCTTCACCCTGTCATTGCTGTAGACATATTGTGCCAAGGTGGATTTTCCAGCACCTCCATGAGCAACAATGGCCACACCAGAGTAGCCAGCTGAGTTATCCTTGTTTGTAAGAAGATCTATTATATGATTGCGATCGGAGTCGCGACCAAACACTTTTGGAGGGGGCAGTGATGTTGTCAAAGGGACAGCTGCTGTTGCCACATCTCTAATGCAACCTAGAGCTGGTAACCCAAGAAGCTGACGGAAGTCCTTGGCTTTTGCTAAGGTGCTCTTGAGTTCATTCAGCTGGCGAAGGTAGCTCCCTGTTCCCAGGAAGCAGGTTGGACATCCTGCTTGTGGCAGCACGCAAAGGCTTTAGGACTTTGTCTCTCACCCCCGCTGGGGAGCGATCATCATTTCCATTCTTCGGCTTGTGCCTGAGGACGCTGTACTCGTGCTCGTCAAGCAGATCTTCAGCAGTGTACAGGGCTTCTTTGAGCTGCCCGAGCCATGCTTCCAAGTTTCTGCGGTGGGGACTCGTTTCAGCCGCTTCAATTACCAGATTGAACTGTGGCATGATGCTGGTCTCCAGTTCATGGAGCTCATTCGCCATGTTAACGCCAAGGTAGGTTGAAGCGTTAGCGAGGAGCTTATTCAAGATGGGTGATATCGCTAGCCGTAAACCAGCTAGCGCCACCTCCGCCATGGTAACTTCTTCTTTCTCTTGGCCTTATTCTCGGTGGATTGTGTGGTTTTTTTAGGTGGAAATGTATAGAGAAAGAGCAGAAATATCTTTTCTGGTATAACTAGAATGAGAATAAGATTGAATATATAGAAGCCCAAGTGTTCTTTTTTTTGGTTTTGGGGTGATGGATATACTGAAAAGAAGATTGAAGTGTCGTTTACTTTTTTGGGTAGAACTATGATATAAAAAGGAATAAGGGTGAATATAGATAGAAACGAAAGTGCTTTTCTGTAGAGATATTTGGGAGACAAATCGGCTAGATGAAAACAATCAACTGTGGACAGCTTAGGGTGAGGAAACGGAGGGTAACACCCTAAAATTTGCCTCTTTTAAAAATGGATATAAAATGATTTATTTCTGAATTTTGTGCTCATGAAATATAGGAAAATAAAATTTTTCATTAAATTAAAATTTATCATAAGGTTTAGCAACATGTTTGTGCATACATGCCCTTGCATTTGATGTATTTGGTTGAATGGCTTTGATTGAAAATTTAAAATGGTTTAAATTGCTTTTGCAAATGAAATTAAAATTTACTTTGAAATAAAAGAAAAGAGAATTTGAAAATAAAAGAATTTAAAAAGTTGTAAAAATTATTTTGAAAACTTACTAAAATTTGCTCACTTTTATTTAGAATTGAAAAGTATGTTCAAAACTTTATTTGAAGTTGCACTTGGTTTACATTTGAATTTGTTTTTTTTTAAACAAACTAGAAAAGGATTTATAAAAAAGTGAAAACCCTTTCTCCTCCCCTCTCTCCCTTTTGGCCTGTTGGCCCAGTTCCAGCGCCGGCTGCCCACTCTCTCCCATGCAGGCCCGTTTTCCCCTCTTGCGCACAGGCCCAGCTGCCGCTCCTGCTCCCGCTTTCCTCTTTCGCGTAGTCTGGCCCAGCTGGCCTGCTTGACTCCCGCGCCCGCTCCTTCACGGCGGCCCAGCCGAGTGCCCGACCTAGCCGAAGCTGCCGTGCCGTGCGTCCCCTTTCCTCTCTCTTGCGCCGATAGGTGGGGGCCCGCCTGTCAGCTCCGCCCCTCTCCTTCCGCCCGTACCTAAGACGGACTCCGCCGCCGCCATCACCTGGGAGTCCGCACACGCCCCGTCCCGCATCGTTGTCGTGCACGCCAAGTAGCCTGGTCCTATATAAGCCGAGCCGTACCCTGTCGTGCTGCCCTCGTCTCACCCGATTGAAGCCACCGCAACGCCCGAGCTATCCTAGCGCCATAGCCGCCACCGGCCAAGCCGCATGCTGCCGTCCTCTCCACGCCGCCACGGACCCGCAATCCTCCGCGGTAAGCAGCTAGGTGAGCTCGCCTAGACCTCCTCTCCTCTCCCGTGCTCCTCGTTTATTTTTTCGTGGTCGGTAGCTCGTTTTCGAGGTTCGCTGCCGAGCTCTCCTTGCTCCGGCCATGGCACCGCCGTAACCTACCTCGCCGTCGGCCGAACTCACCGCCCGATCCAATCCGGACCGCCCAGATCTGATCCAACGGCCTCAATCGGAGGATACCCCTTCACGTGGCCATTTTACTAAAGAGTCCCTGTGTTTCTCTAAAATAGAACCTGCTGTCCTTTGCGTATTCCACAGCTTATGTTTTCTTCCTTTAAAAGCGTATTTTATTCGGTTGACTTCAAAAATACGTTTTCACCTATTTACAGATTTGCCACTGATTTTGTTTTAGCCATAACTTCTTCGTTTTAACTCTGATTTGATCCGTTTAAATTGCGTTATGTTCGTAATTTCATAATCTACATGTTCAAACTACTGATTGATATGTTTTCAACTTTTAAAATTCATGATTAGATTTAATCTATTATTTTATTAAAGATAATCTTGTTTAATTCATATCTTCTACGTTTTAATTCCGTTTTGACCCATTCAAGTTGCGTTAGATTCATAGCAATGAGATCTACGCGTTAGTAACAGTGGTTACCATGTCACTATTTCTGGAATTTCATGGTTTAAACTCTAATTTGAATAATAATTATGCAACAGGATTTTATAGATGAAATATGATTTGTTTTACTTTAGTATTATATTTCAAACTTAAATTTGACTTAATTTATATTACCTATAAAATATGCTATATATGTTTTTATATAATTAAAACACATGAAGCTAGTGGTTTTATGAGTAGATCTCTCGGTAGTTGTATCTTTTCAACCGTAGCTTCGATTAGTGTGCTTTTCGCGTCTGTGTTCGTAGCGAGACATAGATTCGTTTTATAAATTTTTCATCTTGATTTTATGTTTGGTGTAGTGTTCTAATTTAGATTTATTGTTTGCTTCGTGTATGATTGTATGGATGCTTGTGTGGTGCTTTTATGATTACGTCCAGTCGGTGAGATATAGTGGTGATCAAGAAGAAGTAGAACGTTGAAGATTAAAGCTTACCGAAGGATCGGTGTTTTAAGGCAAGTATAGCATGGGATCTTCCTTGTTGTCCTATACACCTTTAATCATTTAATTCATACTGCATGTGTCACTGCCAGTAAGGATTTCCTAGTACTTTGTACCTTGTATCTTGATACCTTTGGGTTATTGCATTTGGTAGCTTTGCTAGTGCTCAACTACAGCCATGATCTTGTAACTTGACTAATGTAATATGCAATAAACATTAAAAGATGCTTTTTAGCAACACGGAATAAGGGGGCCAGAGCATTGGGCTATTTTATGGTGCTCTAGATTCCTCTCCCTAAGGACTTATTTATAAGTGATCATCCGAGACTTACAGTACAACTGTGATGGCTACATGGCTCTGGCCTTAGCTTAGTATGACGATCTTTTCTAGCTTGTTAGTGGTTACCTTATTGGCATAAGAATGGCTTGACGAATCAGGTATAGGACAACCTCTACTCTTATGTGTATAGCTGTGATGGAATTATGCCATTCGACAGGGGGGTTCTTATATCTATTTGTCGAGTGAATCTAATGGCCCTAACTTGTTAGACGAGCCTTTGAAAGGCTTCATAGTGAACCCTGCCGACCTTCCTTGGTAGTGGCTCAAGAGGTTGGCCACCTCGGTGAAAGGGTAAATCATGACTCACAGTGAAAGTGTACAACCTATACAGAGTGTAAAACTGGTATATCAGCCATGCTCACGGTCATGAGCAGCCTTGAAACATTTACGGAATAGATGATCACTAATGGTTAATGACGATGAATACTAATGATATGGATGATGAAGATGCTCACTAAATATTACTGTTTATGCTATTCATTATTCATGTTTACCTGATCATGTGTTTATGGGCTTGTGATAAACTTGTTGCTACTCCTATGCTAAAATTGTGACAATTAAAAGCTAATCGTAGTTAAACCGGTGTCAGCCTGTTGAGCCTTATGAACCCCATGTTATATTTGTTGAGTACGACATGTACTTACGCTTGCTTTATTTTACACATATTTGGAAAAATCCCGGATGGGTACCAGATTGCTAGAGTTTGGAGGAATTAGGCTTATGATCAACCAGTCAGTTGTCCCTGTGGATTTGGAGTCTTTGCCTAAAGATCGGAGTTGTCTTTCCGCTGTCTATACTCTGAGGTTATAATCTCTATACTGATACGCTATGTATTTAAGCATTGTCTTTTGATATTACCAAGCATTGTCTTTTGATATTACCCTTATTTATAACTATATGTGAGATTTGACTTCCTGGGCTCACATATGGTGTGTATCTGGTTTTGTTCTTTAAACCGGGTGCTACATGGATTGTATATGATATGAAGAAATACAAGATGATAACAACAATAACAACAACAACAACAACAACAACAGAGCCTTTAAGTTCCAAACAAGTTGGAGTAGGCTAGAGTTGAAACCCAGCAGAAGCAATCAAGGTTCAGGCACGTGAATAGCTGTTTTCCAAGCACTCCTATCTAAGGCTAAGTCTTTGGATATATTTCATCCTTTCAAGTCTCCTTTCATTGCCTCTACCCAAGTCAACTTCGGTCTTCCTCTGTCTCTCTTCACGTTACTATCCTGGTTTAGGATTCCACTACGCACCGATGCCTCTAGAGGTCTCCGTTGGACATGTCCAAACCATCTCAACCGGTGTTGGACAAGCTTTTCTTCAATTGGTGCTACCCCTAATCTATCACGTATATCATCATTCCGAACTCGATCCCTTCTTGTATGATCGCAAATCCAATGCAACATACGCATTTCCGCGACACTTATCTGTTAAACATGTCGTCTTTTCGTAGGCCAACATTCTGCACCATACAACATAGTAGGTCTAATCACCATCCTATAAGACTTGCCTTTTAGCTTCTGTGGTACTCTTTTGTCACATAGGACACTAGATGCTTGGTGCCACTTCATCCACCCTGCTTTGATTCTATGGCTAAAATCTTTATCAATATCCCCGTCTCTCTGTAGCATTAATCCTAAATATCGAAAGGTATCCTTCCTAGGCACTACTTGACCTTTCAAACTAATATCTTTCTCCTCTCGAGTAGTAGTGCCAAAGTCACATCTCATATACTCAGTTTTAGTTCTACTGAGTCTAAAACCTTTGGACTCCAAAGTTCCCGCCATAACTCTAGTTTTTGATTCACTCTTGTCCGACTTTCATTAACTAGCACTACATCACCCACGAAAAGCATACGGTAAGGGATGTCCCCTTGTATGTCCCTTGTGAACTCATCCATCACTAAGGCAAACAGATAAGGGCTCAAAGCTGACAATTGATGTAGTCCTATCCTAATCAGGAAGTCATCCGTGTCTCCATCACTTGTTCGAACACTAGTCACAACATTGTTGTACATGTCCTTAATGAGCCCGACGTACTTCATTGGGACTTTATGTTTGTCCAAAGCCCACCACATAACATTCCTTGGTATTTTATCATAAGCCTTCTCCAAGTTAATAAAAACCATGTGTAGGTCCTTCTTCTCCCTATACCGCTCCATAACTTGTCTTATTAAGAAAATGGCTTCCATGGTTGACCTTCTGGGCATGAAACCAAA